GTTTGGCGTTTCATGATTCGGTCATTACTCGCTCAAGCGACAAAGTCACCGCTTGAGCGATGAAGCCTTCAAAGGGGGACTCTCGGGTTAGACAAAAAAGCAGAAACCATGTGAGGGAGCATTGGATTGAAACCAATGGACTTCATTATAAATAGACTACTTTCATTCTTTGAAGTTCTCACATTGCACACTCCTAAATCTCTGAAGCTATTTGCATTATTTCTTCTTCTTACCTTTAGTCTTCTTTGTGTTCCACACTCCTCAAATGGGTGTAGTGTCTACTATTGTCCACTATGATGGTTTCATGAACCCATGTCCCATGGAGGGAGTTACCTTCAATACTGGGACTGCAAAACTTGTTCCTTTAAAGAGAGGAATTTCTCTACAAAGGCTGAAGAAGTTGATCCACAAGAAATTGGAGAAAGAACCCCATGAAAATGTAGCAACCATCCATTTTCGCTGTCCAACTAGACTCGGAGTTGGGATCAACAACTTCATTGCTGTTGAGTTGAAAGATGATGACGACGTGGAGGCCATGTTCGATGTGCATGATTCAAACTCAAGTCTATGTGGTATTGAAATTTTTGTTTCATTTAAAACTTCTTCTTCTTCATACCCCAACACACACCCAACCGCTATCTAAAGTCATATACTGAAAGTGATACTAGCAAAGATCTCATTGATTTGATGAAGTCAAAGATAAAGTCAAAAGTCAACTCTGCAGCAGTCAACAAGTCACCCAGATAATTGAGCTGAAGATTTAGTGTGTCTTAATAGAAAGTTTAGGTAAAACCATTTTACCTTTTCTGCTGCATAAAGTTTCTTCATCATTTTGCAAAATGCCTCAAAAATAGTTTTAAACAAATCAAAAACAAAAGCATTTTGACAAAGAACTTTCTTAATAATGTTTTTAAGCTGATATAGTTTTAAAAGAAACGATTAAAATCACTTAGAATGTTTAAAGAAGTGTTTTTACAAGTATTTTAATCGATACAAACTTCTTTTAATCGATTAAAACCACTTTGGAAGTCAGGATGATCGATCAGAATGAAATTATGACCGATCAGAGTTGGTTATGATCGATCAGAATTGAATTATGACCGATCAGACCTTTTTCAATCGATTAAAATGAATTTCAATCGATTAAAATGACTTGAAAATTTTTGTACAGAGTTTCAATCGATTAAAACGCATTTCAATCGATTAAAATAACTTGGAAAATCTTTGTACAAAGTTTCAATCGATTAAAACGCGTTTCAACCGATTAAAACAACTTAGAAAAATTCTGTGCAGGTTTTTAATCGATTAAAACTTCTTTGTATCGGTTAAAATAACTTGAAAAGTTTTATAAGAAAGTTTTAAAGCAAATCAATCGATTAAAACGCGAATCAATCGATTGAATCACTCGAGAAAATGTTTGTAAAATGTTTTAACTGATATAAACATGGTTGTATCAACTAAAAACATTCTCGTTAAAGAAACAAGAACGCATTAATGGGTTGAAAGGACTTTTAACAGATTATAACGGCTATTTCAACTGATTAAAACAAACTTTCAACAGATTAATTAATGCAAGCAGATTTGAAAATTCTCTTTAAAAATAGTTTTGCTTGTCCAATGGTAATCTTGTCCAATGGTAATCTTGAAAATGTCAATCGGGGATTGCTAAGAAGCGGAGGAGAGCTCCGAGTGGCTTTTTCTCAATCTAATAAAAGTGCCATCAAATTTGACGCCCCAAAATACGAGAGCAACCTCCAAATTAAGAAATGGGTCCAGAGCCTTCAAGATCAAGGGCGAAAAGAAAGCTCGGATATTGAGGAAGGTCGGATTGTAACAGAAAAATGGGAGTCATCCACGGAGGAGGCTTCGCATCCAGGAGAGATGCTTCGAAGGTCCAACAGATGGTCGACGAGTGTGAAGAAGAGAATGTCACAAAATGAAGGTAGTTCGACCAATGCATTGGTGGATATAACGAGAATCCCCCATTTTTCCAGGTGTCCTCGCTCAAGCGATGTGATTTTCGCTTGAGTCACCTTAGATAGCGGTTGATAACAACCGCTTTTAAAAATATATATTAGATAGCGGTTATGCTTTAACCGCTTTCTAATGTAGTAGTTTAGATAGCGGTTGGCCAAATAACCGCTATCTAAAGTCATATATGTCAAAGTGATCGACTATAATTAGATAATAATCGATCATATTTTTCGCTCAAGCGAGGGTTTCTTCGCTTGAGCGAGAATTTACCCCAGATTTCCCCTTCGTTACAGATTTCCTCGCTCAAGCGAAGGTTTTCTTCGCTTGAGCGAGAGTTCAGTACGCGAAATAATATTATTTTAATACGTGAACAGTAAACAGTGCTAGTTGTGTAAATAAAGTTGCACAGGTGCTATTTTGGTAAATATTTTTGAAAACAGTATTATTTTTGAAAAAAAGTCGAGAATATGTTGGATTGAATCATAAAACAATTCAATAAATTATTATTATTATATTAGTTTTTTAAGTTGTTCATTAACTATATTACTAATAAATTATCAACTTTTTTTTTTAATTTAATCTTACTAAGATGTTTTAATTTTTTTTTACATTTTATTTTTATATTTGAAATATGTTAGTAAGAGATGTTATACTGTCACTGTATACTAAATATAGAAAAGCATTTGGACTTCAAATAGGAAATCATCATTTTCTTAGTTTGTGAGATACCATTCTCCTGTTTTCGAACTGTTTCACACTGCATTTGCTACAAATGAACACTACAAAGTGGTCAAGTAAAACACGGTAATAAATAAGATATTGTTTCTTGAAATGATAAAGATGGAGTTAATAGGGATAAGATCAATACAATAGCTTTAATAAAATTATAATATATTAATACTTTTATTAAATCATTAAATTAAAGAATTAAATTATATTTTCGTTTAAATTGAACGAGTATAATAATTTTGTTCTCACTTTATTTATTTATTTGTATAATAATAATAATAAATAAATAATTATTCTAAATATTTCTTCGTGATCAATGATGGATCTTGATCATTGATCTTGGAGTAATTAAGTTTGAGAGAAACAAAATCATAAATTATATGAAAATTACAAAACTAAAAAAGGATTAAAAAGATAAAATTATAAATATATAAGTAAATATATTAAATATTATTATATTTTAAGAAGTCAAAATCATTAATTACATTAAAGTTAAAAAAATATAAGCTCTAAGAAGATCCTCCACCGATCGTGGCCTTGCGAACACTATGTTTAATTCCTCTCCCACCAAATCATGATGAGGATGTGGTAGTCTCGTACGACTTTGGGTAAGGTTGAAGTGTAGGGAAGTGACTATGGCAAGAAGACTTTTTTTCTTTTATGTAGTAGGAAACACCTTTTCCTTTCCTATAGACAGCACCAATTATTAATATTCTAAAGTTTTTTGTTTGATCGACAGTACTATATTGTTATGTTATCTGTAATTATAATACCTCTTTATATTTAATGTTGTCCTTAGACCTATATTTTTATTTGTGATCTCTATATTCAGTTATTATTCATATATATATATATATATATTAAGTTATTATTATTTTTTAATAACAAATGTAATTTTAGGTACAATTACCGTTATTATATCTTAAAAAAAAAAAAAAGCTCGTGACCGAGCCACGACTATTTGAACACTAAAACTAATAAAAGAGGTAAATGACATAGTATATTAAAAACTTATTAAACCACTATATTCATTAAAAAAGGTTAAAATTCTATTTTCTCTTATATATGATTTCAACACAATACTCTAGATTAGTGTTTTAACTTTCTCACATCGGTTAATGTGTTTTTTTTCTTAGAATAATGATTACTACATTCCATATTTAACCGATTCTTGAAATTCTAAAAACAGTCAGTTTAATTTATAAAATGATTAAATAATGATAATTTAACATACAAAATTTAAAAATAAGTATTAAAATGATAGGTTTTAATAATGTAATTTTTATGTTTTAACTTTAGAAATAAGTAAAGTTACGAAATCATACGAAATTATTACCAATTGATGGAGGTGTACCAACTTAATTTTGTCGAGTTTCAGTATGCCAATAATATACTTTTTAATATTAACTCTTCGACACGTTATTTTTTATTATGCGAGTTCCATTTAACCTTTACTTTTAATAAAAAAGAAAAGAAATTAAAAGTGTAAAACTTGTTTGTTTATTATTTTTAAAAACAAATTTTAAATTTTTAGTTTTTAAAATATAAAAAAAAAACTTAGTTTGATAATGATTTTGTTAAAATAATTAAAAAAATAAAAAATAAAAAAAATATTTTTATTGTTATATGTTTCTATAATATTCGTGTTACATTATTTTATCTATCTTCGTGATGTTGTTAAAATAATTTTTTATTTTTTATCATAGCATTCCTCTTTTAGTTTAAAACTGTTTTCAAATTATTACGAAATAAACTTTATTTTTAAAAATAATTTTTTAAAACTGATTATTCAAATTATTTATAAAAATTTAAAAATAAAGTTGAATCAAACAAACCTCACATAGTTGTTCTTTCAAATTATGTGTCATAAATTATCATGACATAATATAATGCAGAGAAAAATTTAGAAAGGGCTGCAAGAAGGATATAAGAAAACACTTTTTCGAACATATATTTATTACCATTAGTTTGTGTAACAAAAGAAGCCAGATAGAAAATGGTTATGTTTAAAGTTCACATTCTTGATAGATAAGTTTCACAAGAGAAGAAATATTGACAAAAAATAAAAGCAATTGATCATAATATAATATTTTTTTATTCATTCATAAACAAGAGCGTAATATCAATCCTTATTTCTCAATCCTCTAGGGATATACTAAGGATTTTCAGTAACCCACCTAATCAACTACATATTCTTAAGAGTTAAAATGCAACTATAAGGAAAACTTATCCAAAGAAACCATTGTCAATACCCATACTTCAGCATGAGTAAAAAAATGTTTGTTAGTCCGTGCTTCTCACAGAGAGAATCTCTCTTTCTGCCAAAACTTGAACTGCAATGATATTTGTTCCAGCATCTTCTCCTCTTCCTCCATTAGAACCCCTTTGGTCTCAGGTAAAAAACAATGACAAAGAAAATTGCCACAATAGCCACAATTCCAAACATCATGAATGTGAAAGCTGTCCCAATGGCTTGTGTCAAGGACAAAAAGGATTCTGAAACAATTAAGGATGGAAATCCAAACAGTTGTGAATGTTATTCCTCTACAAACTCCTCTATACCTCAATGGATAGATGTCAGAGTTCACAACCCCTGGAACAGTTCCCATCCCAGGTGAGAAGAAAATGATGTAAAGAGCAAGGCCTATTAAAGCAACCCAACCATATTTGCTAGGACATCATGCCCTATGATCACCGGCATCCAACTTCTTTGTGCCATCATTGGAGATCAAACATGCCCCAGGTAAAAGCTGCAAATTTAGTTGAAAGTAGAGTGAATAAATATAAAATGTAAAATCATATAGTAGTGTCAACAAATGAAATTGAAATAACTCATTTCATTCCCTTCCCTCCTAATGATTGATAGAATGTGACATGCGAAATCCTGCTATAAGCATAATGTTGTCAACAATTGGAACGGAAACAATTTGTTGTCTAGCCCTTCCCTCCCAATAATTGGAGGAGTGTAGTGAACCACAAAATTGACACATATGGGGTTGCTAAATTGAAAAAGGTGGTACAGATTTACCTTATCATCAGGTATTGTTGAAGCCTTTGAAATTAGGACAGGTGTTGTTTAAGAGTGGTTTCCGTGCAACTAACCATTGGGGAGTGGATTTAACTTTCTCGAAAAGCAACAGTTATAGCCAACTCAGGCAGCTGAACATTCATGGGTTCAATGTAAAGAGATGAATTTCCAATTGTTTGTGGAAATTTACCACTGAAGATTGAAAAGAAATCCTGAAACATTGAGGCGTAGAAGAATGATCCGTTTCAGCCAGCAAAGTCCAAGAGGCATATTGAAATAATGACCCAAGTTATCAACACAAAATATGGAGTATAAAAACCATTTATGGATGTTTTTTGGGTCAGCAAATTATTTGGGATAAGAATATATGATTTGCTTCAATCTGGCCTAAAGTACATAGTTTTTTGAGGGGCATTCGCTAATAGATATGCAGAGAGATTTAGCAGTCTCACTTCATGTGAATACTAGATTCAAGTGAGATTATGGTAAATATATATTTGAATTAGATATAAGTATAACAAAATTCATTTGATGCAGAATAATTCTAACATAATAACTGCCTGCTTAAGAAACAACTTAAAGCATACCCATAAGTTTGGATAGAAGTTATCTCAAAATGATGCGTTACATCAAGTACTGGTTATGGCTGGCTGAGAATATGAAAGATATCAGTCAATCGTTCTTTTTCCCATGATTTGCGGGTGCAATGGAAGGTATGGTTGAGGAATATAACCCTGTTTTCTCAACTCAAGAAGGAGACTCTTCAGAATCAAATAGATCTCAACAGATTCTGGATGATTTCCGTCAGCAGCAGAAAACATATGGGTTCCACCATTAACATCAATCCAGCTGTATCCAGGAATCTTCTGAACTCCTTTTTCCTTCATTAAACTTCTTACTTGGAGAACACTTGCCCATTCACCAGCATCAGCATGTACATTAGAAAGCAATACATAGTATCCAGAATTCTTTGGATCCAGTTCAAGGAGATGTCTTGAAGCTAGTTTAGCCAACTCAACATTGCCATGAAGCCGACAAGCTCCTAGCAATGTCCCCCAAACACCTGCATCTGGAGTGCATGGCATGCTCTTTATGGTATCAAATGCTTCGTGCAGACGGCCAGCACGACCATACAAATCTACCATGCATGCATAGTGCTCCATCCTAGCACAGATCCCATATTCTGTAGTCATGCGATGAAAGTAGTGTACGCCTTCATTAACTAAGCCTGCATGGCCACAAGCAGATAGTATAACAAGAAAAGTAATATGATCAGGGTGAATCCCAGCTCCTAACATCTCATGGAATAGATCAAGGCATTCTGTAGGGAAACCATGGTTTCCATAGGCAGCAATGATGCTGTTCCATGAGACTTCATTCTTTCCATTCATCAGGTCAAACACACATCGAGCAAAAGCTAGTTTTCCACATTTAGAATACATATCTACCAGTGCACTTGCAACAAAAGTGTCAAAACAAAATTCATTTCTTATCACATAGGCATGCATCTCTTTCCCATAATAGAGTGCTGGTAAATTTGAAGCAGCAGAGAGAGCAGATGATAGGCTCACTGTATCATACTTGGCTCCACTCATTCCCATTTGACGAAAAAGATCAATGGCCATTTCTGGCTTTCCATTCTGTGAGAAGCTTGAAAGCATTGAGTTCCAGCATACACTATCTCTGTCGGACATTCTTCTAAAAAATTCATAAGCAAGATCCAGCCTACCACATTTTGCGTACATATCTGTGATGGCAGATCCCACATTAACTATATTCTCTAGTCGTTTCTTTAGAATATCACAATGCAACTCCTTCCCTAATTTCAGAGCAGCAACTGCAGCACAAGCTGGTAAAACACTAGCCATGGTAAGGCAATTAGGAACCATTCTCTCTTGAATTAACCACCGAAAAATGTTTATAGCATCCTTATTCAGCCCATTAAGTACATAACCTGAAATCATAGCTGTGCAAACTGCAACATCAACCAATGTATTCTGCTGGAAAATCTTGCATGCCATCTTCACATCTCCACCCTTGAAGTATATGTCAATAAGAGCACTCTTCAAATAGACATCAAAAGGTACCCTATGTCGAACTATGTAACTATGAACTTCCTTACAATGTTTGAGACTCCGAGATTTAAGGATAGAAGGAAGGAGACTTGCAAAAGTGACCGCATCTGGTTTGACACCAGCAGAGATCATTGTATTAAATAAAGGTGCAGCCTCATCAGTAAATCCATTTTGCACATATCCAGCAATCAACCCATTCCAACTCACCGTATCAGTTTGTGACATTGTATTAAATAACTTGCGAGCATCAAAAAGGTTCCCACATTTTGAATACATGGCAACTAGTGTGTTTGCTACCTGTGGATCAAACTCAAATCCACTACCAATAACAAGACCATGAAGCTGAGTACCAAGACAAAATTTCCCTCTCATAGCACATACAGACAAAATACATGTATATGTCACTGAATTAGGCTTACTATAAGAGGTCCTTATTTCACGAAAAGTCCCTATTGCATTGTTAAAATCTCCAACTTTCACGTAACCATGGAGCATGACATTCCACAAAATGATGTCTCTCAGAGGCAATTCATCAAACACAACTCGCGCATCATGAATATAACCATTATCAGCATACAACTTGATCAAAGCGCTACCGACAAACAAGTCCACATGAAACCCCATCGCCCGAACTGTATTATGAACCACCATACACAATGGCACATTATTCAAACGACCACAAGCTTTGATCACATAAGGGAATGTGTATTTGTCAGGTGAAACTTTACTACCCAACATCTTGAAGTAAAATAACAAAGCAAAATCACACCACCCCAACATGTAAAGCGCTCTTATCATCCAATTCCATGGAAGAGCATAGCACAATTCAAGCCTGAAGAACAAGTTTCCGGCATCCTTGATTCTACCACAAAGAATAAACAACCCCAAAATCCTTGAACTCAGTGAGCAAATATCACTCATGCCACCAACAATAACCTGAGTGTGAATTTGTCTAACTTGTTGAAGCACAGAAGCATCTGAACAAGCACGGAACAAAGATTCGAAATGGGTTGTGAGAGAATCTTGGGTCTCTGGGGACGAACGATGTGATTTTGAGATAACATTGTTGCAGATGTTTGTTGCTGTGTGCATGAACTTGGACCTTGATTTTGCAAGTCTAAACATAGAGCATATATTTGTTGTGTTGTACATTTTTCAAAGTGAAATGGGTATAAACCACACTCAAATTTGAGAGCAAAAGAAAACCAAAACATAGAAAGGAAATGAAAAGGCCCGACCCGTGTTAGGATCTAACCCAATCACACTGAATAACCCAAATAGCTTTCCTCAGTTGGGCAATTCTGAGTACATGTTCAACTCAACGTAGCTACATTGCATTCGAGTAGATATATATGTATAGAGAATCTTGATAGCACACTAGAATTGAATGAAAGCCGAAGCAGGATGGATCAATCGCAGAATCAGCGACCAGCGACATCAACAGCTCCCTCGCGCTCTTTCCAGTTCCACCCTGCTCGTGGCCCCATTCTCGATCTCTTCAACCTAATTATTATATAGTTACAGCTTGATTGGCTAAGTAGTCACTTTCGTCCACTGCAATATGTTTGATATATTGCCTTAAAGAAAACAAGCACCTTTTCTTAAAGTCATTTGACTCTTTTATTTGCTTGGAAGGTAACTCTTAGTTTCAGCACAATGGGTCGAAATTTTTTTGAGCTACTTTACTGTGGAAACCATTTTGTTAGAACCAACAAGTTTGCAGCCTTCTACCTGAACTCTATGTTTTATCACTCTTCAAAAGACGCTCCCAGCCTGCAATGGTATCAGAATGGGTTTCTCAAGGTGAAAGAGTTGACCCATTTGCTAGGAAATGTGGATGAAGTTAATGGTAGACTTGTTGATATAAAGAGCAATTCAACCTTTTTTGATGATGACATTGAGCGTCAAATGTCTACCTTCAAGTCCCTTGTTCGTGAGTTTGTTGGGTCTGCAATTGTTCAGCACAAAATGAAACATGTCCAGGCCTCTTTCATCACAAATGCAAAACATGAATCTTTTACCCCTTTTAGTAAAGCAACTGAAAGAGATCCTATGGTGGTTGACTCACTGACCAAAGTGAGCAACTTTCTCAATGTTTCTGCTCAACAAAGGAAGTTGGTTCGTCTAAGAGTGTGCCCCCAGGTTACTCAACATCGCATATGGACTGGTGCACTTAAAGAAGTTCTGAATGATTTTGCAGTTGATTTGGATTTTTTGTCTTCTCAGGGCTTAAACAATGATATTTTGTTAGGTGGCCAAATTGTTCATAGCTGTTTGAAGTTTCTTACTGAAATTGGTGTCTTTTCAGACACCGAGTCATCTTCTTGGATGAAGCTTTCACCTTCTAAAATGCTTGCCTCTGACCCACGAAAATGGGAAGATGTTCTTGTAATGTTCAATGATCTGATTGAATGCTGTAAAAAGGAAGTAAGGTTGAAGTTCCATGTAGCTAAAGCTGAGATCATGAAGGAGGGGCTTTTGCACATAAGGGATGTTTCAGTTGACAACAGTGTTGGATACAAGGAAGCTCAGCATCAAGAAAGCCTGGTGAGGAAGAAGCTTTCCAAAATGTTGGGTCACTCCTCTCGTTGCATATTCACTCTATTACTGTATTATCTCTATGGAAGGGTGGTGGATATTGAAGTAGACATGCGTGGTGGGGTCTATGCAAACGGAAGTGATGGCAAGTTTTGCTTGTTTATGGGAAGAATCTTGACTTCGGATAGTGAGAAGATGGTTGGGCGAGGGGTGAAGCAGTTGGACCGGGCACTTGGAATTTTCAAGTTTGTGTGGGAAATGGCTGGAATGAAAGGGCATTTGGACTTGCAGGGCCATATGTGGTGTGTTGGAGCAGACAGTAGGGTGCTTAGGTATAGGGGTAACACGTACTTTGTGCATGGAATTTGCCTTTGATTATAGATTTTTGTATCACTGCATCATCTAATCCTACTTCATGGTGCTAATATATCCCCACGTTGAAGGTGGCAATGACAACTCAAATTTGCGGTGTGTTCATGTAATTCAATCAAAATTCAAAGAAATTTACAAACAACCACCTCACTTTAAAATGAACTCTAGAGAGCAAAATAATTAGTTTATGTTTTTCTACTAGTTACTTTTTGATAAATGATTCCTTGTGATTTTTTTTTCTGCTTGAATTATTGGGTTATGTTTTTTTTTTTTTTTCTTTCTTTCCAGTGGTATACTTGTGATGCAACTAATCAGTCTTTAACATTCCAAGACTACAAGGATTAATCCTTTCTTTACTTTAGAAACTATAGTGTGATGCCTTGTGGTATATTTGGAGAGCGAGATGCTGTCTTATTTTCCAAGGTGCGAATTTAAATACCATGGTCATATTGAATTGGCAATTGGGGCGTGAGCCCCATGCGCAAATGAAAGATGGACACGATTGGTTTCTTGCGGGTCTCCTTAACTTTTGGATCAAAGGTTGTCACAAAAGATAAAGTGGTTACTTATGGTATATTGCAAGGTAATATTTTCTTTTTATTTACTCAAACTTTTGTGTTGACTCATCGTAGTGTGTAACTGTGGATGTTTGTCAAAACTATTTGA